CCATAGTGTTGGGGTTTCTCCAGTCTCCTTTAGGCCAGTAAATCTGGTCTTTTTTTTGTGAGTTAGAATTTTGTTCTACATCCTTTTTCAGCTCTGTCCAGGACCGTCTATTGTGATCCTGGTCAGAGCAGTCAGTGGTGGTAGCCGGGCACCATCTAGCTGTACTGGACTCAGTCTAGTGGAGGCTGTGGTACCTGTGGCCCATTAGTTGTTTGGACTAATCTTTTCCTTGTAGCTTGTTCTCTTCATTCTCCCTTGCTCCCGAAGGGATGAGACCAGTGGAGTATATTAGATGGCTGCTCACAGGCTTTTAAGACCCCAGACGCTACTCACCAAGGTAGAATGTAGAACATTGTCTTTATAAACTTTGCTATGCCAGTTGAGTTAGATGTTCTCCAAGATCATGGTTCCTACAGCCCTCGGCCCAGCAATTCAGTCCCTCAGGGAGTTAGGAAGTGTCTGTGGAGCTTCCATGACCTTTCGTTGTACAAGTTGTGCTGGTTTCCTCAGTATTGTGTACTGTCGTACCCTTCACCAAAGTTACCACTTACCTGTTATCTATTTAGTTCACCCCTGTCCCTCCTATCCCTTGTAACCAACAGAGATTGTTTCTTTTTGTGTGTAAACTTTTACATGAGTTTTTATGGTAGAGGTCTCATACAATATTTGTCCTTTTGTGATTGACTTATTCACTCAGCATAATGTCCTCCAGTTTCATCCATGTTATGAGATGCTTCACAGATTCATCATTGTTCTTTGTCTTTGCATAATACTGTATTGTGTGTATGTACCATCGTTTGTTTATCCATTCATCTGTTGATGGGCATCTAGGTTGTTTCCATCTTTTTGCTATTGTGAACAGTGCTGTAATGGATATGGGTGTGCATATGTCTATTCGTGTGATGGTTCTTAATTCTCTAGGATGTATTCCTAGGAGTGGGATTGCATTTTGTAGTGTTTTTTTTGTGGTGCTGACATTTTCTTTGTTCCTGTTACTCTCCTGTGCTGAGTTCCTTTTGTTTGTGGGTTTTTTTTCATTTCTTCTGTTTTTGTAAGTTTTGTTTTTACTGAGACTTTATGATTTTCTTCTTTATGTTGATGAGTAGGTTTGTTAACTTTCTTTGTGGTTACCTTGAAATTTACCCTTATCTTCCTAGATT